TTCACATCCAAATACAATAAATAATGCTTCATTCTATTCCGCTGCATTCCACCTAAAGTCGTTGTTCTTTACTAGAAAGTCAACTTATGCATTTATTTACTTCAGAAAAATAGCACCTTAGTGTGGAGGCCAAATATTTATTTATTTATTTATTTATTTTTTTGGTCGCATTGGATTCGTTAAATTAAGTAAATTATCACCTAGTTTTGTAACTAACCGAGCGAATCTCGAATTTCTGATAAACGAATAAGGTTGATTCATAATAGTAATTAACAATTCTATTCTCGAGTTTTTGCGAGTTCAGCTTGGTTCAACTCATTGGGTTTGACTTGTTTGTGAGAGTTCGTTTTGTGTATAACGCTTCACTTACTTTTCAGTTTTTAGTTTTCGAACTTGCATGTTAGTATTTCAGATTATCAGATTTTCATCGGTCCGCTAGTGTGACTTGGATTCAGTATTGCATGCTTGTTTGATACTCTGTTTTCTTTATGTCTATCCTAGTTGTTAGACCCAGTTTAAAGAAAATGGATTTTCAGAACATATAAGTTTTTACAGACTTACAGTAGCATCCGTAGTCAAGTTAAAAGATTTCGAAAAATTTATAAGTATTTTCGAAATAAGTTTGCGTTTTGTGTACAACGGGTCTACCTGGACTATTATAATATAGCGGTTGAAATTCTCTAACTGATGTTAGATTGTTGGTCACAAGTTATAGCATTATTCAAATCGGTTGATCTTGTGTGTGGTCGGTCTAACAATTAAGTCGATATATACTTATAACAAGTATACATAAGTAGAAACACAACAATTAATTGTATGAATACGTATTTTTTGTTACTATTTAAAACGTATAACGCGTCAACACGAATAACGATTAGGCTTTCTCTCTTTCGTGTGTCTATACTTATATAAAAGGTCATCGCATTTACTAGAATTAGTATGAAGAAAGTCAAAAGCAATTAATTGTACACCATAATTAGAAAGTTTTTTTTTATTTTTTAAATCATAAAATAGGGTAGCATTAAATGCCCCTAAAATTATGGATTTTGTTGAATTCATTTTTTAAAGTTTTGACAGATATTGAAGAGAATATGAGTTCAAAATCTCTTCTCATTTTTTTTTGTTAAAATTTGCATCCAAATATACGTGTGGTTTTGAAATGAAAATTTCAAATTCAAAATCTCTTCTCATTTTAGTTACAAGAAAATTGGACTGCATTCAAAACTTGGACCAATTTAAAAATTATTCCTTAAATTAAGGAATTTATAGGTAATTGTTATCTCTACTCAATCAAATGATTATTTTCAATATAAAAAGAGACGAGTTACAAATTAGTGAATCATATATTATCTAATTCAATATCTTAATATTAAGTAATAAATCTAAAGTATTATGTAAATTCGTATCTCATATTATTATATCATTAAGAATATATTATAGTTATATTATCAAATAATAAAAAAGATAATAAATCCATATTGTAAAAAAAAAAAAATTCATATAACTTTATAACAATTTTATTCATATTCATTTTTATTATATAAAAAATGTAATTAATTTATAAGTAATATGTAGACAAACATTTAGTATATAAGCAACAAAAAAATTGATTTTTATTATTTAATGTGTATATGAATAATTATTTATTATCCACCAACCAATATTACTTAATCTAGTAAAAACAAACTATTACATAATACATATCAACAAACATTCAAATTTCACTATAATTATATTATTTATGTTTTAATTTCCGTCTAATAAAATAATATATTTATTGCACTTAAGGTACATAAAGTTATTTTATTTTATTTTATTTTTTTTATTTGCACAAAGAGCTTTTTAGTAGAAACAAATATAATTGACAAATCAATATTTTGTAGGTACTCTGACATCATCTTCCTTTAATGGATGAAATCATGAAGGTGATTGGTTCCTCGAATAATGCTTACCCCTTCCGATATGAGGATACCTTTCAAGTTCTAGAGAAGACAATTTTCGCTTGTGGTATCTTATGCCATGGCGATAAATAAGAGTCGATTTCAATCTTTATCTCATGTTAGTCTTATGTGTTTGTTTTCCACAATATGAATCGTCAAGATTTGAAAATATTAATATTATGTACAATGAGGTGTAATAATATATATAAATTGTTTTGTTTTCAGTTTTATTTCCAAATATGTAAACAACCATATGGTTGTTTATTATTATAATTATAAATGTGTTATGTTGTTAACTTATATCTCATCTCATTATCTAACATAACAATAATAATGAATATTGCTTCTCGTGCCATGCACGGGCTATGCACTAGTTTATTTATGAAAGTTCATATTCCATATTATTAGGCTATGTTGGATAAGCCGAATTAAAATACTAGTTGATAGTATATAAATAAATCCTCCTCCCCTATATATAATTATCGAATGCGCTGAGCCTACGTGATTACTTCTGGTGCTTCGGAATCCTACTTGGCGAAGAATCATGCTTCGTATTTTAGTTTGGACAATTAATATTGATACTATAAATTAATAATTTTAGGTTCAAACATTCCATAACTTAGATTCAGACATTCTATAAATATTATTAAGCTAACTTAAATAATTTCATAACACTTATACTAATATAACCCTTTAATAATCTTAGATAGTGCTGCACTAAGTGACTAATATATCCCTGACTTTTTAAATATATTTTAAAAGTTGATAACTTTTGTATTTTCTATCGGTTTTACATATATAATATATCAAATTAATCATCTTTTGATGAGCTTCGATTTGACATCTATATTGTATATATAAAATTATTTTTCAATTAAAAAAATTATTATAATATAACACAGGTAAGACGCACAAGGTAAAAGTATCATACTAAAATATATAATAATTATTTTTTTATAAAAAATATTTAACTTTTCAACTATTTTTTATCATTAGTATTAAATTTAAAAAAAAAAATAGCAATCGTGGGTGTATTACACAAGTGTGTGGTACTACTTGTTAAAAAATAAAAAAACAAAAACAGCCTGAATATAACATAGAGGCGTCCAAGAAAAAAAAAAAGCATAATAATGGCCAGCTGCATCCTTCTGTTAGGCCACGCTATTTTTCAGTTGGGCCCTTTTTATTTTTAATAATCTCTTTCCTTCGGCAACAAGCCACGGGGCCGCGCCAAGTGGCTCCAATACGTCTAACCTTTCGTCCTTATTATAATCATTTTTTATAATTGTTAACCGGATTAGTATCTATATGACTATATCTATATCTAATACAAAAAATACAATAATAATATATTTTCGCCCATTTTTCAGTTAATCTTTATATTTAATCTATATTTAATCAAATAATTATATTTTTTATTTATTTTATCACATAATAGATACTACTAGTAATTAATCATAAAGTTACATTAACTGATATACTATTTAAAATTTTTTTCAACCTGATTATTCAATTTTTTTCACCTCGTTATATTAATTAGGGATGTTTAAGATATTTAGGGTTTAACAATTGAACCTATCCAATCATACATTTATATAGTATAAAATAAAATTTAAATATCCTGTTTTATCATGTAAGTACCGTCAAAGCAATTTTTGGTTGCCCGCAATCATAGGTGTATGTATAGTCCATGCTTTGTTTACTAACAAAAATCTGAAAACATTACTCAATGTAACTGATCTACGGTACAAAATCTACACTTAATTATTGGCTCAAAAATTCCTATACATGTCTATTGACTATAATTAATTTGTAGACCGATGACGATTTTGCTATGAAGTCAATAGTTGCTTCCATAGTGGAATCGACCTTCTATATACAACATATAAACTTATCATATTAATTAAATTATATTATTATTATTTAAGTAATTCGAGAATATGGTATGTTAATTTGTAGTATATAGAAAATTGACTCCACTATGGAACCAACCGTTGAGTTTATAGCAAAAGTGTGTAGACCGAATCGATGTAAAAAAGATTTTACAGCTTTGATTGGAATCAATTACGGTCATGTTAGGGTAAAATGAGGTGAAAGATTATTTTTAGTTATCATATTGATTATCATAATCCAAAGGAATAGTCAAACTCAAGATAATTGTCAAAAAAAAAAGATTTTATTTTAAAAATAGAAAATTGGGTTGTGAATATGGTACGATCTTATAATTTGAGAAATGCAATATATTATCATAAAAATACAGATTTATATAATATATATAATATAATATAAATTATAAGCGTATCAAATTAACAAAGGATTAAGTATTTAAAATCTAATTAAAATACTCAAAATTTCGTGAAATGGATGCCTAAAAAGATGGAACATGGGAATGGACCCAACATCATCAGCAGAAATACCTTTGAATTTCCCGATATGCCCTTCCATCTGTCTATACTAGACTAGTGTAGCTCCATCAGCCAGGCCTAATATCGTAATTTAGCTGAATTTCAGTTATAAATCTGGAGTCCGGCGCAGCAGAGCACACCCCCACCTGCTCACGACACGAGACTCTCTCTCTCTCTCTCTCTCTTTTCTCTCTCTAATCTCTATAAGATATATATCTATAAATCTGCGTGATTATTGTGAATGTATAGTTGTATGCATTCTCGATTTGATTCGTCCAGTTGATTTTTTTT